TTCCTTCCTTCCTTCCTTCCTTCCTTCCTTCCTTCCTTCCTTCCTTCCTTCCTTCCTTCCTTGTGTTGTTGTTTGCTTGGATTTGTTTTGAGACACTGTTTCATGTAGCCCAGGCTGGCTTTGAACTCACCACTAGCCAGAGATGACTCTGAATTTCTAATCCTCCTTTTTCCAACTTGGGTAGTGCTGGGATTCCCATACATGCCACCATTCCCTACGGATGGCTTCCAGGACTCCGGCAATGCTAGGCAAGCACTCTGCCCACTGAGCCACATCTCTGGCCCCAGATTTTGCCCTTGTAAAAGCCTCAGGGTGGCATGCATCAGTCTCACTACAGATGCCTAGAGCATGCTGGGTAGCCAGGAGCAGGAGGCAGGAAGAGGAGCCACAGGAAGACATGGAAGTGCTTTAGCCTTTCTTTAAGCGGCTGCTGCATCGTGAGAAGAGAGATGGGTTCCGAGTGACACCCTCAGACACCCCAGGTTGGCAGAGGCCTCACCTGCACCTTCCTCCCATGCCCCTAGGTTTTTCTCAAGGCGGGCATAGTCTCCAGGCTGGAGAGGCAACGAGAAAAGCTTGTGTCCCGGAACATCGCTCTCTTCCAGGCAGTGTGCAGGGGCTTCCTGTCTCGCCAGGAATGTAAGAAGCTGAAGGTATTGATCATGGGGGTCAGGGGTGAGTGTGCATGACTGTGCATCCCTCATGACACCCCATCCAAGGGATACCCCAGAGGAGTGTTGGAGCAAGAGCTTTTCCTGTTGAGGAGCCCCTCCCCACTGGCCGGTGCTATGGGTGACCTGGAATAGAGATGAGGCTGTGGCCCTGTTTTCTCCATCTTGCTTGTTCCCCGTCCTCTTTCCCAGGCAGGTGAACCCCGCACAACCACGTTTTCCTCCTGCAGATCCGTAAGCTGGCTGCACAGTGCATCCAGAAGAACCTGGCTGTGTTCCTGGAGGTCAGGGACTGGCCGTGGTGGGGGCTTCTGGCGTCTCTCCGGCCCCTGCTGAGTTCCACTCTTAGCACGGAGCAGCTTCGAGCCAAGGAGGTGGGTTCGTGTCTCTGGGTGGTGACAGCCACCCACCTTCATGCTCGCACCCAGCGCTCAGGTGGGCCCGGAGCAGCAGCCCAGCAGTCCTCCATCCTGTGCTTGGAGGCTTCCACCAACCGAGACTGTGTTCCCCCAAATACAGCCGCTCCATGGGATGCTGGTAAAATGCACCAATCACCCTTAGGCCAGGCAGCTTGTTCCAAACTCAGTCATGAGGCTTTTGCATCTCTCAGAGAAACCCTTGTCATCCCTCCACCCGCAGTGCACATGCATACACACACACACACACACACACACACACACACACACACACACACACA